AGCTAATTGCCGGTGTGTGTGGTATAAACAGCTTTGATTTTATTTAAGTTTTTGAGCATCATGATAAGTTTTTGTTGTTTTTGTGTGTAGTAGTAATGTTGGGAGTGAACTATCGGTGCTATGGATAGCGGGATGTTGTTTACCTGGGGGTCAGGGGTTAGCACTCGTATATACAGTACAGTATTGTTTATGTGTTTACCGTTAAACTTATTGTTTAATAGTTTGTGTTATTATTTTTGATGTTTTCCTATCGTTTAGTGTTTCAGTGAATTATTTTCTTATTTTTTGCTTTTTCTATAAAATGATAGACAAAATCGTGATGTTTTGTGAATGACTTTTAAAACAAACGTTATATAAATGTTTTAAATTGATTCTCTCTCTCTCTCTCTCTCTCTCTCTCTCTCTCTCTCTCGGAACAGACTTTTATAGTTAATAAAAATATAAAACAATTATATTTTGATGGGAACTGGAGGTCAAGGAAAGGATAGGGAGGGATAGAGAGACAGATATAGACAGACAGTTAGAAATAGGTTTATAAAACATTTATATATTTTTATAAATTTAAAATTTTAAACACTTTTCTAAATGTAGTTTAATATAAAACAAATGATAATTTATTGTAAATTTGAAATTATTTTTGTTGTTTCTTTGTCTCAGATTTTTGAAAAGACATTTGAAATGAAATTTTAATATATTTTAAGAAATTATAAATGTTTTTAAGAAATTGTAAAATTTATTGTTTAGTGTTTTAAAAGTTAGAAAACATTTTCTTATCATTAGATTAGAAGTGAAACATATTTTCTAATGAAAAATAACTAAAAATCGTTTTTATTAGTAAAACAATAAAACAAATTTTGAGATAAAAGTTAACATCAATTATAATTCATTGCGTTTTAAATGGAAAATAATATAAATAATAATATTTTGCTGTCAATTGTGTGTCTGATTATCAGAAAATATAAGTTATTTTTGTGTTTAAATCACAAAATATTAGCAGAAAAATAAATAATAAAAGTTTTCTTCGACACAAATATTATACACAAAAAAACTAAAACACATATCAATAAAAATTGATGGAAGAGAGAGAGAGAGAGAGAGAGAGAGAGAGATTGAAGTATTGAAAAGATTTATATAAGTCATACATATTTGAATCAAAGAAATAAAAACAAAACAAAAAAAAGTAAAACAAATTTTCATATGTATAAAACAAAAAGCAAAATTTCAACCGTTATATATAACTACAGTATGAATATAAAATCATCGCTCCTACCAAATGGCACCGGTATTTATTTGGGTCAAAACACCATCTCATTCCTACATTAAATACACACAAACACACAGTGAAAATACTTGGAAATACTGGAGAGCACCGGGACTTAGTTAAGGGAACCGGCGGTTTGTTTTACACATGCATTTAAACATAAATTTTGATGAGTTTAGACAGAAATGTTAATCAAGTCTACCATTGATTTACACAATAAGTCTGTATATATGTTGGTCTATTATACAACAGTATACCAAACAGTTTATGTGTTTGGGTGGTCAGTGGGTAGCCATCACCTGTACGGGTACACACCTCCTATGCCCTGTCCCTCTGTCTATCATCTATCACAATCTGACCGTCCGTTTATGCTGTATACCTGTCTATACGGCACATCCCTGTTGTGCAGCGCATGTAGTATTTTGTGTACACATATTCACATGCCGTTACCTATCGATAGGTAATAATTACTGTTTTAAATGTGTTTACCGTTAGATATGTAGTCAATCAATGGTCTCATCCCAATAGTCAATGCAGATATAGTACACTATATACACAGTGAATGCGGATATAATGAACTTTTAAATTGAATATCCGTTTAAAATACATGTACAATAAGTGAGTGGTGTGTGTCTGAAGTCGGTCTCAATATATCACTCAAAACTTGTGGCGAAAAATAAATATTTGTCTTGTATTTGAAGATGGGATGAGAAATATGTAGTAATTGTAACAACTATTTGACTGATTGAGTGACAAATTATATATTAAGATAGAAATTACATTTTTGGTTATTTGTTTTCACATAGGAAATATTCATTTCCAAAATATTGATATCTAGGTCTAGGTCCATGAAAACTATGTATATTATAGGAAACACATGGAATATTCTGTAGGGTTTGTATTATGTTTAAAATAAAATGTTTGGTTTACTGTTACTGTATGTGTTTATCATATGATATGTTAATTAAACTTATTTATAATTAAATTTTCAATTCAATTACAATTGTGTAAAAAATATTTGTTAATTTTAATATACATATTATATGTATTATAAATATAAAATATAAACCATTTAAAATTATAAATATCATTATTAAAATTGGTTTAATTTTTAGCAATTGTCTCATTAATCCAATCTTTATTAACAACTATTATGTGTAAAACAACACATAATATTAAGGATTGGCATAAGATTTGCTTTTATTTTTGGCTTTTCACTCGTGTATATAGTGTACATTGTGTATAACATACAGTACATTGTATTATAATGTATAATGGTACAATATGAAATTAAGTATTTTTTCGTACATAATATTAATTATTATTAGGAAATGAAATTATTATTTAAGATCTTTATCGCCAAAAATGTATTTTATTGAGAGATTTATTAAAAATAAAAAACAAACACAATATAAATCACAATAAACTGAAAAATAAAAGCGATATATTTTATGTGAATTACAATTCATTATAAATATAATGTATGAAATGGTTTTCAGCTTAATTTATACAGCAATACCTCGTTATAATAAACTAATTTGTAGTCTATTTTGCAATATTTTCTATTAATATCTACTGTATTGTGAAAAATCATTCATAAAAACAAATCTAGAGTATATCAATATAATTAATGATGTTTTATATTATATATTCAATAATGAATTACAATAAAATTAAAATTAAAACAAAAAACAAAATGAATATATAATTCAAAGAGATTTTGTTTGGCAAACAAATACTCAATAGATTTACATATCGTTTCATAAATACATGAAATTACAGATAAAATTGTCTAAAATTAACATTTTTGTGATCGATTGGCAAAATTAGCCCACATTTTAACATAACTGTTGAATAATTAATAATAACTTTTAATTTTTCTCATTTAAAAGTGATTTCAAAATGAAAACTAATTGATTAATTAACTTATGCTTGTTTTTTGATGGCATATATATTTCAACGCAACCATAAATCGCCGTTAATTTTGATAATAAGATTAAACTTATAGTTAAAAACATTACTAAACAAACAATAAATTAGGCTTAACTTCTAGATAAAAATCGGCAAATCTATTGTCAGTTTATTAATAGACTTTTAATGCTATTTAAAAGTAGACGCGATATATATTTACTAGTTATAAGGTTAATTTTAAATTGATAATGTTTAATTAATGGTAATTTTATTTTTTATAATCTCAAATACTAAGCATTTTATTATTTTTTGGTGTAAAACATATTTTAGATCAAAAATATGTAACAAATATTCTGTATGTAAACCAAAAATAACTATATTTTTTTGTTTTTAACATTCAATAGATAAATAAATATTCAAAATATTTTGCCATAATTTGCATGTATTTCGGGATTTTTTAGGGTTAAGTGATACTTATGTATACATTGATAGGGCCGGTAGATTATGCAGCATGCCTAAATATGCCACTGGATAATTAAGCCAATCACCAGCGACATCAATCACCCCGATTATGCAAATATCATACATGCAATTAATTATCATCATCAGTCTATTAATAATATACAACATTTACATATCAGTCATTTGTGTACTTAATTATATGCAATACGTTTACGCATATTATTATTAATTATGTATTGATTTGTACACTAATCTAATTAATATCGATATAATTAATTAATTTGTTGATTCCTTTCTCTCTGGCATTGATATTATAGTTACAAAAAGCGTTGACTTCATGGGACGGACGGACCACTTGTGTCGGTAAGTGCTGTGCTCTCAATGTCTCAACATTTTTGTGTGTCTTATAATTAATGAATAATTTATTTTTTTTTGTGAGATAAAAATAAAAATGGTTTAAATTTATTAAATGAAAAATAAAATATGCAGTTTTTTCTCTGCATATAAATTATGTTTATATGAAAATCAATCGATAGTTTAGTTATTTATTTCAGATGTAATAACACTTTGAAAGTAAATCAAAAATAATAAAAAGTTTTGATCAAATGTTTAACATATTTTGAGAGTAAAACTAATTATAAGTTAATTTTTATAAGTGTTTGCAATTAAGTCTCTCTCTCTCTCTCTCTCTCTCTCTCTCTCTCTCTTCATTGAAATAATTAAAATATTTACTTTTAATAAAAATTGGAAACTTTTTCCTTGTATTTTTGTATCACAACAAGCATTATACCCTAACTTATACTGTAAGTCACATTAACAATTTTCAAAATGTTTTGCATGAATATTTAAATCATTATAAAAATTTCAAAGTAGTTAATATTATTTTATTATAATAATTTAATTATATTTAAATAAAAGTAACAGTTTTTTAAATGACAGTAGTTGTAATGGTTTAAAGTTTAAAGTTTAAACCATTACAACTACTGTTATTAATAAACTGTTACTTTTATTTAAATATAATTAAATTAAACTTAAACAGTTAAAAAACAATTTACATAAAAACTGTAATAAAAACTTATGCAGCAATTTTATGAATATAACACAACATTAGTATATTTAATATTGGGATTTATTAATTGAATTTTAATTGAATTACTTAAACACGGTGAAAACATTTGTAAAACAATTTATAATAATCATTTTTTATTTTACATCTCCGTTTAATTTAATTAATTTCCTAAAACAATTCCGATTAACGTATACATAATAATGTGTTGACAAAATACAACATGATAATTTAATAAAAACATATTTAATCTCATAAATTAACTCGATTGTTTCGATTTATATAAACAAGTTACCCGTTTGTTTATATGGGACTTAACCTCCGCCAACTCCGAGCACATACAGCGCATAAGAGGGGGTGAGGGTTATATAATTAGTAGCACTTGATTAAACACGTTTAAATAATCATAGTATATGATTGTTTGAGATCACAGACTGCGTTAAATTAAAATTAAATTCAATTGTAATTAATTAAAATAATAATCCGATTAATTGTGAGCATAAAAACACTGTTTACTATTAAATACACTACAGTTTAGAGGAAAAATAATAATTTAAATAAACAATATCGGTAAACAGTTTAAAATAAAATCACTACAATCAACTCCCGATATGCGTGTCCGCGCAGACCACTAATCTTCGGACGTATTGATCATCAGGGGTTTACTCTTGGGATTCTCAAACCGATCGGGAGTGTTCACAATGGACACAAAGTACACGCCAACAAACAATATGGTGAATAGCATGATCAGAGTCAACAGGCCCATCCAAAGTGGCATGGTCATCCAGGTCTCGCAGTTGAACGACTCGGTAAATATTTTCTTCGAGAGGAATGGTTGCAATTGAAATCGGGAGAATGTTAACGCTATACGCTTTTCAACTGCATTTATTGCGCCAAGGTGATTTAAAATAAATGATAAAATTAATACATTTGTTCAACAAGGTAGAGATGGTGTTTAGCGCATACCCTTAGCTCCCTTATCGTCTAAACTGGGCGATTGTATGATCAATTTGGTACAACTGAAACCAAAATTGTATTCAGCGGTAATGTCGCCGGCGGCCAACTTATCATAAACTTCGGGAGTGGCCGTATCCGAGCTCTTGTAGGTCACATTGGCGTACATAATGTTCCAGTAATTGCTGTATGGGCAAATTAATTAAAAATATAAATTACAAATTAATTTAAGTAACTAAAATAATTAAATAAATAAAATTAAAAATATAAACTGTTAATGTGGTCAACTATTTTAACTACATTAGCCTAAACTAATAAACCAGAACCGAGCTTATAATCGCCTAAAACCGCAAAAAAGTACATACGTTAGGCCTGTTTTATACCAATACGAATTAATCTCGAGCGCGAGTGTCAACGATTTGGTGCCGTTCTTATAGTTAAGCGTCAACTTTCCGGTCTCTTCCTGTTTGCCACCCGTGGCTTTCCAGCACCTGGAGTTGGCCTTATCGACCATGGTGGCCGGGTCCTGTTTCAATGGGTCAAACACCACGAGAGGGTCCTTCTGGTCCACTTGGTTCACAGTAATGCTGGTGGTGTACATGAATAGGCAGTCGTTGACATTGATCAGGCGCTTTTTGTCGTCCTCTGTAATGGCCGCCCGCCGGACCCGTCGCTTGCGCTCAGCGCTAGCCTTGTCTACAGTCAGCGGTTTGTCGTCAATCTCGTTGAGCACCGGGTCCTCCAAATCGATGGACTGGAACTGATTCTCGGCGCCTGTCAGCACATATACGGCCGACACGTTGGCCCCGATTCTGGCCATCAGCGCGTCGATGAGCTGGTCGTTGTCGGCCAGACTATCGCCCGGCAGTTCCAGCCATAGTTTGTCACCCGATTGTACGGTCAGAGTGGCGGCGGTGTCCGAGTCCACTGTCACGTGACGGAAGTGGCGGCTGTCCAGCGCCGCCGTTGGGTTCAATACATCAGTTAACAGTGTCTGTAAGGGTTGGGACGTAAAAAATCAGGTATTTATTTCGTTAATACTTTAATAGATATGTTTAATTCTCTCTCTCTCTCTCTCTCTCTCTCTTCCATTAGATATAGAAAATAATTTATAAGTTTGAGGCCTTAAAATACAGTCAATAAATAACAAGAAAATTTTTAATAAACGCTGAAAACTAGCGACAACTAAAGCATTACTTAACGCTCAGTAAGTTTTCAATGCTCTCTCTCTCTCTCTCTCTCTCTCTCTCAACAATTTATTGACAATGAATTGAGAGCCAAAACAGAATATAAAAGTTTATTACACTTAAGAATTATAACGGATTTTTGTGGATTTAATCATGGGATATACAGTATATATGGTATAAGTATTGTAAAGTTTAAACGAAAAATACTGTACCATTGATTTGATTGCAAAATAATATATAGTGTATAAGAAAGTTATTGGACTACAAAAGTATTCAATAATTTTGTGAAAAGAGTTTGAAAGAGTACTGCAAATGATATAAAAGTTTATGATTGATGTGAATATCACTACAAACGACTTTTACTATATTTTAAAATTATATGAACTTTTCCTCCTTAAGGAAACATTACGTTTATTTGTAGTGTAAGGAAAGGAGTGCACAAATATAACTGTTCATTCATCTGTACATTTCATAACAATTTTATATTCATATGACTATAATTTTAGTGAATATATGCAGAAAATGGTATTCAAAATTATAACTCAGTTTTTCATTTTCTCGGAAATGAACATTTTCTTAATAAATCAATCATGTTACTTATTATTGTAAAAATTGTAAAGAATTACTTACCAAATATGTCGATAAAGTTTAATAAAACTATTGATTGCAACAATTGTTCCCACATTTTTCAAGTTAAACCAATTAAAGTGTTTGTTATTAAAGTCCATATACTTTATCCGCAATTTTCTTCGCTTTCATAAATCAAAGTTATGTTTAAAATCATGAAATGTAACCAATTTTGTGTTTACATAACGTCAGTGTCCACAACACGTAAAGTGAGGAAAATATATTGTATATAAAATCAGTTTTTGTATTTTGATTTTGTTATAGCAATATATATTTATTATGAGATAGTAATAAATAATAAGCAAAACTATATCATCCCTTCCTATGGTAGGCTTTTTTGCGCATAAATATATAATTCAATGCAAAGAATGCGAAGAATTTATTTATCAATTTTTTTGTTGCCCACAAAAAATCATTTATTCGCACAAAACATAACTATGAAAAAAGTTATTTATATTGACATAAGTGTGTTGTTGTGAAAAAGCATATTTTTTGCGCACATTATTTATTTGTAAATACGTTATAAGAGTTAAGATTTATTCGTCGCCGTCTTTTTCGTCGTTCAAAACTTTATCATTCATTAAGTTATAGTTTTTATATATAGTTTTCAATACATCCCATGAATATTGTATTATTTAAATTGGTGTCAATTTTTTCACATTAGAATTATTGTCACACAAAAAATTTTGTTTATTTTTGTGAATTCAATATATTTTCCACACATAAAGTCTATGTAAAGTTTTTCTTCTTATTCGCCGATGAAATGTTGAATAAAAGGATTATTTTATTTAAGATTCTGATGGCATATCATGTTATGAATTATCGTTGAAAATATTCAATTCTTATTTTACTAGAAAATAACTTTTTCTCGCTATTCATATATGCGTTGAACAGAAAGCAAAACAATTGCAATCAAAGACCAGTTAAAAGTGGGAGCGAAACGTATGAGCAATTGATCTCCGATTTGCCAGTCATTCACTGACAGAGAAAACACATTTCATAGGAGTGTGAGTGGAGTTTGAGTACCAAAAACACAGTGTAGTGACAGTTCATCAAATCTTATATCCATAACAGACATCCACAACACATACCATCAAATTCTTGTTCTTCTTATTTATGCCAAATATAAACACAATAGAGAATAACGCGACAAACTTTTTATTATACGATTCTTGTGTATTATATTATAAACAGTATATTTTTTCAAAGTATCAGAAAATCAATTTACAAATAGAGATAAACAGAGGGAAAGGAAGGGACCAAATACTCGCCAAATATGTATCGAAGTTTTCGTCAAATTAAGTTAAAATGAGTGCTGTTTTGGAGAAGAAATACTGGTTCGTCGAAAGCAATGAGTTGTGTTGTTGTAGTGATTATGTAATGCATTTGTAAGGAAACGCCGCTCTCTGTCTATCTGTTCACCGAATCTGTTATAATACTGAATACGAGTCCTCTCTTTCTGTCAGATCGCCGGAGTGTTCAGCCGATAGAAGCACTACTCGTAAAGTCACTGATTTTGGTCCCCATCCATAAGCGCACAACACATGCGCTTCCCTTACAATCATTTTGTGGTCGTTTTGCCGGAGAAAAAGCGTTTATTATTTTTACAGCAAAAAATTTCATTTTCTAACACATGATATGGTATTCACCGAAGAAATATTTAATAAATAATTTTTTACTTTAATATATATTTTTTATCTAATCTCTGCCTCAGAAATGCTTTTGAATACTCATTAGTTTTCCCTAAAAAAGACTATTAAAACCTTTTACTAACAATTCGCTCTCTCTCTCTCTCTCTCTCTCTCTCTCTCTCACTCTCTCTCTCTCATACACACACATCAGTCACTCATATTTAATATTCTTCACAGATTAGAGCAAAGAAAATAAATTTGACTTTTGTTTAATTTTTACATTAATTATTTGATAAAGTTTGTTATGTCTAACGATTTATGCATTATATTTCGCCATTAGTTGTTACTTATATTTCTGTATAAAACAAGTATTTTGTTTGCAATATTTTGTGTTACAAACATTCAGTTGTTTAGTCGTTGTGTTATATTTTTGTTATTTCAGAAAATGATATCTAATTTTAAACGAAGTGTTTTACAGGAAACATAAAAATTTTTGCGCTGCACTTAACTTGTCTTCATTTTTGAAGATTTATACTATTATTGTTTCTCTCTCTCTCTCTCTCTCTCTCTCTCTCTAACCCATTTGCACAGACAGTAACTCTCACCACACATATCAAGACATTCAATTCACACACACACAAAACTGGTCACAAGTGATATACCGGTGCAATGGCAACATCGGTGAACAGTCGGCGCACAGCCGGGAGTCGACTCTCGGGCCGGTCATTGGCGGTGAACTGTTCCAGACTCAGCCGGTTCTGTACGAAAGCCACGATAGTGTGGCCAACGGGTAGGTACCGGTCGCCGAACGCCCCGGAGTCCAACTGGTGTACAGTTGAGGCGCGTTCACCGGTGGCCAACACACCGGCGCTCAGGTCCCCGGTGTCCGCGAGGGGTCGCTGTTGCCATAGCAACACTGGAACCCCTATCTCGCCTCCCAGTGCGCCCGATGTAAGCCATAGGCCAGTGATTAACGTCAATATGTTTGCGCCGATCATCGCTATCAAGTGTGGCTTATGTCCGGTTATTGTGGGTATAGTTGGATGACTATTAAAAAGTAAATTTAATTAATAATTTGGGTAATAATTATAGTAATAGTTAAATAGTTAATTACAGTTAAATACGTGACACACAAATTAACAGGCTGTTAAACTTAAACTCAACACTGTTTATCATCGTAGAAAACTAAATACGCCCAATGTAATACTGGTATACAGTCGTGATTAGTTACATGGTACATTTTATTTAACAAAGTTATTTTTGATAATTAAATTGGTCAGGCATAATATTACATGATTTCTAAAATATGTTCACTAAAATCAGCATGAGTATTTAATTTTTTAATTGGTAAGCCATGTCCACTGAATTTTTAATCTTGGTTATCAGTACGGGATGAGGATTGTTGTTATGGTGTGTGTTGTCAACTGCTATACTTATAAAGTTAGGTCCCATTTATTAATATATGACTCATATGTTAGATGTGTGAACACTAGTTATAAAATGGCCCATGATTTCTATCAACAAGAATCAAGATGGTTTGTTAATCAAGTACGTTGTACGTAATTTTATATACGTCAATATTAAAGTTATTTAAAAGTTTATAAAAGTTTATAATAATCTAGATAATTCTTAAATAATTAATTATACCCACAATGATTTAAAGTTTATTTATAATTTTATTAAATTAAAAATAAGCATTCATAATGCGGTTAGTATTTTAATGTCTATTAAGTTATAAATTTAAATCTCAAGAAGTTTGAAAAAGAATGCGATTAACAACGATATAATCTGAAAATAAATTACAAAAATATTAACATGGTCAAATAAATTATATACAGTTAAACTTACTTCATAGCAACGAAAATGGGTTACAATAAAGAGTTTCCAACACCAAAAACCTACGGTATTGTCGGCTAATCGTTCGCATAGACTCAGCAACTGTTAAACAGCAAAAAAATTATCATGATATAAAATTAAAACATAATAGTTAATCACAATATATGATTAAAAAAATCTTTATCGCATTAGTTAAATAATTAACGCAAACATTTACCTTAATCTTAAGACATATACACTTATAGGTAACGCCTCTATGTCTGGTAATACGGCAACAAAAGCCTGTCAGACATTTGGACAGCCGTTTGGCACTGGTATTCACTCCGGACGCTATCCATACGTTTAACGCGAATAAATTCATGGCAAATATTATGGCAAAACCGACCATTAATTTTGTGAACATATCCATCGACACAAACAGAATCACGTATAGGGATAGCACAGTGACGGAGCCCAACACCGACCATACAGTAGCCAAATATTTTGACCAATACGTGCTATTATAGCTGTCAGTCTCGTGGCATACGGCCTCTGCCTCCCTGACCATCGCCCACACCTTCCGATCTGTGGTGTGTCCGGTCGGGACACCGGTCGGACTCATGTCCCATTCACTAACCCTATCGGACAACGCTCGCAGCTTTAGCCCCAAATACTTTGACACGAGGTAAAAGTGTATCAATAGCCACATACTAATACCGTAGGCGTAGTATGAGTTTAGACATGTTACCAGGCCGTGGGGCACACCGTATACCAGGGTTTCCCACACGGAGCAGTTTAGCAGATATGGGAAAAAGTAGGCTAGACCAAATACCGGTGTTACAAACTTTGTTAAAATATCGCAGCAGTTAAATAGTAATCTAGATTCTCTGGCTAGCCGGTTTAAGCTAGATAAGTTTTTGATGTTTAATTGTATGGGAGTTATATTGCCTGCTAGTACGCGGAACAATAGCAAAAATGTTGGTTTTACATTATGGTAAGAGTTGTAGAGAAATATTTGTTGAAATATGATAGCCTGCAATGTCCACAGGCATACGGCCACGTTTAAATGTAGAGGCATTTTGAGCAGGTATGCTATGTCACCAATTAGTAGTAGGGTCTGCCTTTCCGTACTGTCCCTACCCGGCAGTAGCACCGGTAGTATTGATCGTATGGCCACTGACCACAATAGTAATTGCATTAGTAGTGGGTTTGATAGGAGATTACGTGATACCGGCGGGTCATTGTCTAGCCTTATATTTAATCCCATTTTATGCAATACATAATCTGCTGATAGAATTAGCAATTTAGGATTTATACGGGATTTACTGCTAATTATATTCATTGTTTGTAATTATTTACTTAACTATTTAACAATAAGTTAAA